GGGGAGGCGGGAGGGGCTGTGGAAATGGGAGGCGGGGCCCGTCAGGCTGTACAAACAGCCATTAATATGTAAATAGATACATAAATAGATGAAATATGTAACTATGGGAAATATGGACGTGTATTGAGGTCTATTAAGATATATAATAGATTAAAATGTAAGTAGATAAAAAGTGATACATTGATAAAAATATCTGGGTTGCATCAAAAGCAGCGTGAGCAGCAGGTCGAGGCGGCCACGGGCTGGACACCCAGGGCTCAGCCCCAGGGTCTCCCCAAGGAGAAAACATCCATCACGTCCTTCTAACCTGCCTCTGTTTTTCCAAGGAATTGAATCTTCAGGTGCATCTGAAGTGGCCCCGAATAAAAGCCTGGTTGAGACTCATCCCTTGAAAGTGAAGTCAGCAGTAAATAAGAAACAAAGGGCAGAGACAATTTTGTGGCAGCCTCCCATAAATAATTACACGTATCATCCCACCATCAAAAGCATCAGTTGATCTGAGCTGAAGGGCCTCAGAGCCGCAGTGTATCCACTTGCAAAATGCCACCTCCATGACCTCCAGGCACCACAGGAAGACACAAGCCCACAGCTCCCACCCAGGGCAAGGCCAGGACAGCAGAGAACCTCACTTCACCTTGGTGGAGCACTTGTATTTGTGTCTTTACAATTACTTATGTGTGTTTGTATTTTTCATTCTAGACTTTCTCCTCGGTTGCTGCCTTTGTCTCAGGTCAATCCTGGCTGGTTCCCCATGGCAGAGGGAGCTGCTGGCCATGCCGTTTGCCTACATCAACACCTTCAGACTCTGCACAAAGCAGTCCTGTGTTTTCCTTTAAAACACCTACTGAGAAAAAAAAAAAATCCCATAAAACTCCAATAAACCCAAGTAGCATCCAGGACATACCCTGAGGCACCATGGGACAGGGGAGCCCTGTGAAGCAGGGCAGCAAGTACTTTATGGTTAGAGCAGAAGACACCTCTAATATTTACCAAATGCTTTCCCATTTCCACCAAACACTGCTGCTCTGGGGGCTGTCCCACCAGGGCTGTGCTCTCTGCTCCCAGGTGCTGCACTCTGGAGTGTTTGCACAGCCACCAATAACAACCGCCTGGAGCTCATCACCTGGGATGACACTCAAGGCTGTTCCACATTTCCACAGCATCACAGTTTTGAAGTACAGCAGGGTAGGGGTTGGTTTCATTTTTCATTGAGGCATGAAGGCATAAAATAGAAGGAATTCTTTAAACCAGCACTACTCGTGCAGGCTGTTGACACCGAGTGTCCCCTTGCTCTCATGCAACTCTTCCCCCTCAGTGCTCAATGAACCTTCAAATCAGAACTATCTCCAGTTATTTATTCCAGTTTGGTTTTTTTCCTTTGGATTTCCTTTGGAACATTGCAAAGGGAAAGTTTTGCAGGTGTGCAGAGAAAGGAGCTATGGTAACATGATCTGGCTGTGGCTTCCTCTGTGTGCAAGAGCTTCCTGCATGCCAGAAACACCCAGCCCTGAACTGGGTCAGGCACCCACGGACAAGAAACTCCACTGCAGCACACCCAGAACTGCTGAAGAGCTGCACAATTAATTGCTGCATCGATTCAGATGACTCAAGAGGGACTCAAGAGGCCTGAGGAACCATACAAGGAGGAGTTTTCTTTCTATTTGTTGAGGGTTCCACCACTCTCTTAATCAACTGTCAGTGTTCCTGGGTCACATCCTGCTATCCCACCCTTCCCAGTGCCAGACCAGGTCCCACTGGGGTCATTAATCATCTGAAACATCCATTTCACCTCCCACCACATCCCCTTCCAAAGGCAGGTGGCATCACCACTTTGGGACATCTGGGGTGTTTTACTTCTTCAGCCTCCCACCCCTTTCCCATTTCCTTACCCCAGCACAGCTCCCTTACCTACTCATGAGATCCTGAATCTGCACTTCAGTGGAGACCTCCCTTTAGTCAGTGTTTTTACAGCATATGGGAACTGCTCCACATCTGCTTCAGCTCATGAACTCTGCATTTCCATTGAATGCAGACAGAATGAGAGCACACTCCAATTAACTTTAAGAAAATTAGTACATCTGGAATGAAATTTGCTTAATATACCTTTGAAAAAATAGTCTACCTTACAGCTGGATGACAATTCATGCTAGGCTGAACTTCTCAAGCTGTTGGTACAACAGTTGCAGGATCAGCAGAGCTGTTCTGCCCAGCAGACGTGCTGGAGGTGGCTGCTGGCTCAGGATCAGCTTGTCCTTTTGCTGCTGCTGCTCATGCAAAAACAGCGGGGGCAAGACCAGTAATTACTGGGCACAGCAGCATTACCAAAGCCTCCCAGTTTCACGTTACATGTGCACTTACACAACCCCAACAGCTGCGTAACATCTGCAGACTGGCACCGAGCTCAGCCAGGGCTTCAGCTCCCGACAGGAACACTTACACAACAGCAGGGAACCACGGCAGGGATTAGTGGCACTGGTCTCACGTGTAGCCCTTGTGTAAGGCTGTTTTGCAACACCTCTATATACAGAAGCTGGCTAATTAAAGTTTATTAGGTAGTTACAGCTGGTTAGTGCTATAAACAGTTTTTCATGTAACTGGAAACATGCACTTTTGTGGATGCAATAGCTTTATTGGATGAACAAGTGCAGAGAAACTTTTACTTTGGAAGCAAACAACAACTGGCCAGTTCAGTTACCACCCCGCAGGCGCAGCACAAGATGGAGGGTGGATTCCTTCTGGATGTTGTAGTCAGACAGGGTGCGCCCGTCTTCCAGCTGCTTGCCAGCAAAGATCAGCCTCTGCTGGTCGGGGGGAATGCCTTCCTTGTCTTGGATCTTGGCCTTGACATTTTCAATGGTGTCACTGGGCTCCACCTCCAGGGTGATGGTCTTGCCTGTCAAGGTCTTCACGAAGATCTGCATGCCACCCCTCAGACGAAGCACAAGATGCAGAGTAGACTCCTTCTGGATGTTGTAGTCAGACAGGGTGCGCCCGTCTTCCAGCTGCTTGCCAGCAAAGATCAGCCTCTGCTGGTCGGGGGGAATGCCTTCCTTGTCTTGGATCTTGGCCTTGACATTTTCAATGGTGTCACTGGGCTCCACCTCCAGGGTGATGGTCTTGCCTGTCAAGGTCTTCACGAAGATCTGCATGCCACCCCTCAGACGAAGCACAAGATGCAGAGTAGACTCCTTCTGGATGTTGTAGTCAGACAGGGTGCGCCCATCTTCCAGCTGCTTGCCAGCGAAGATCAGCCTCTGCTGGTCGGGGGGAATGCCTTCCTTGTCCTGGATCTTGGCCTTGACGTTCTCAATGGTGTCACTGGGCTCAACTTCCAGGGTGATGGTCTTGCCAGTCAGAGTTTTCACGAAGATCTGCATGCCTCCCCTCAGACGCAGCACCAAGTGCAGGGTGGATTCCTTCTGGATGTTGTAGTCAGACAGGGTGCGCCCGTCTTCCAGCTGCTTGCCAGCAAAGATCAGCCTCTGCTGGTCGGGGGGAATGCCTTCCTTGTCCTGGATCTTGGCCTTGACATTTTCAATGGTGTCACTGGGCTCAACCTCCAAGGTGATGGTCTTGCCAGTCAGGGTCTTCACGAAGATCTGCATGTTTCTCTGGAAGGAGGAAGGTCACTGCAGGTTAGCGATGCCCATGGGAGGCTGCAACAAGGCCGCTCTGCAGGCGCCCACCCCGAGGCAGCGCCCAGGGCGGCTGCGCCCGGGGCCGGCCCCGCC